CCATCCCGGGTCTGAGTTCAAAGCCCCTCAGAAACAAAGTTGAGGCAGCGGCTCCCCACCAGGCAGAGTACATGAATTTTGGTACTGGTCAGCGCACATCCCACAGCTCCCAGCAATCGCCAGATCGCATACGACCAAAAAAGGACGAAGTCGAATCAAAAGGCCAAGAACCTGTGGCGTTCCTCCTGTTAGGCAATGCGCCATCAAACTCGAATGTGTTGGTGCTATAGAGCTCGATATCGTTATTGCTAACACCAATAGACACGACGCGATCACAGCAGGCCACGGATAAAGCCTTCCCGGGGAGTAGGTAACAAGTCAGCCTGTCACCCCAGTCTTGATCCAATCGGCCAACTATTCTCAAGCCTTCGGTGGACGTGCCAAAGTTTTTTCGGATAATGGAATCCAAGGGGCAAAGCGGCGGCAACAAGAGGTGGACCGACGACGGCATAGCGAGCAGGGCCGCGTGGAACAAGGCAATTAAGCGGTCGATCTCAGTCACACAGAACTCCGCCCTGTCAATCTGAGCTGCTTCGATGGCCGTGGCAGTACAGCTGTTTTTCCGCTGCCTCAGGTAAGTCTCTATGCCGCGGGCCGCTCGTAGCACACCGGCGAGATCACCCCACTCAGCGAGCCTCTCGATCCATGTTAGAACGTTGGTCCGGAAAAACCTGTCTAGCCGAGCCAAGTGGCTGCCGACGGCCGGCGAGCTGTGCGCAAGGTGATGGGCAAAATGGGCCGCTGCGTAAGCCGATAAGGGGGAAGCATACTTGTTACTGCCGTTGCTAACTCCTCCACTCTGGCGTTTTGATGGCGTGAAGTCGTCTCCGCCAAGGATCTCGAGACAGATCTCGGCGATTCTGGAGTCTGCCGTGGGACGATCAATCCAGCGTTTCCCATCCTCGCGTGGCTGGGTCAAGAAGTCCGAGACCGTCTCGTCAACGATGTGCACCCGAGATTGACTGTCCACCGTGATGAGCTGCGCGGTTATCTTCTCCAGTTGTTCTGAGAGTGGCGCTGTTAGAGTCTGGCCAATGTCCAGCTTCACTGCTTCTGCGAGTTCGTGGATGGACAGTGGTCGTGGTGCAGAGACAGCCCATGAAAAGATGCATTTGGCCAGTTCGACGCTTGGGGAGGCAATGATCGAGTTTATGAGACGTAAGTGGGATTTGTCCGTCTTGGGAGTGCCTTGCAAAGCTGCCCCCGCGTCCGGAACGCTAGGAATGACATTTGGTGGTGCCATGGTGAGAGATCAGAGAGGGCAGCCAGGCCCTCGTTAAAGACTCTTTAATAGTCAGGATATCCAACTGCCCCCTTGAGTGCCTAGCCACTCTGATCATCAGACAGGTGAGCAGAAATGGGTAAGTATTACCAGGACACTGACTGGTGGTACTCCCGCGTCACTCACTCCGAGTTGAATCTCCATCAGAATTTAGAACTAGCTGGTCCCGGACAAGTATGCGGTATACTTAGCTGCTGATATCTGAGTTAGGGAGTATGTATGTTGCCCCGCCTTGGCAAATGGCCGGAGAAACCTAATTGGGTGCCTATGCATACCACTTCACAGATAACCAACGGGAGCAAACGGACCAGCCCGGGCTGACGCGGAGGGGGTGCCAAGCGCTGCTACGTTCAAGCGTACAACGTCGAGTGAATGTCGGTGAAACCACCTATGCAAGCACTCCATATCCATCCTTCACTTGTAACTTTCAGGATAGTATTTTACCATGAAAAGAAGTTGAAGGATTCCCTAGGTACTATTACAGTGCAACGCCCTATCGTGAACAAAAGCCAGTCCACCTAATATGATCTATCCAAACGGCATTAGGGCTTTTGAATAGAATCAGTAACTACGAGCCTCACCATTCATAGCTAACGAGGAACTCTCGGATAACGTTCTTGCTCGAATGGTTTTGGGAATTTAGACACTCACTGCTAATTAAACAACGTGTCACGGGCACAGCCCGTTCCTTGTAGGGTTAGGGTTGCACGGCTGAACCCCGAGGTGGGGTTCCTGGTGGTCGGGCTTTACGGGCCGCACGTGGCTCTGCGTTGGTCTGTGCGCAGCCACAGGGTTTTCCCTGAGCGCGCCTCGCCTCCCACATTCGGTTCCTCGTGCAACCACACAATATACCAGCTTACCCCTACCACGGTGATTCTAACCATGATACAACCATAGGAACCCGAAGAGTACCTCATGCGCCAATGAATTGTGTGCGCTGTTGTGGACTTCATATGCTGGTGGCCTGGCCCCCTCCTCCAAGCTACAGTGGATGTCAACATCCATAATCTTCCGTAGTATAGTGGTCAGTATGTGAGCTTGTCATCAGACTCCACCAAGTCGTGACATCGCTCGAGACCCGGGTTCAATTCCCGGCGGGAGAGATCACCACTCTTTTTGTCAAATCTTTAACCTAGACGGTATCTTTTGCATCTACTGTGAATATACGCGAACAATGTGCTCCATTGCAAGCCGTGATGCCGTACTAACAAGGTAAGACCAGACATGTTATGGAGAGGAACAATCTTGTAATGATTGACGGTTTCTTTTCCGGTTTCAGTCGGGTTCACTAATAGGATCCCTAGCGTTGGGCGACATCACAAAACGCAACTGCCCAAACTACGATATGGTAGAATATAAGATGAATTTTGTGGAGGGGGTTTCCACCGTCATTTATCCCGGCGTGTAAGTGTCAGACCATCACGTGTGGAACAGCTCATTCGCCATTTCAAGCCGCTACTTGCCCAATCATCACAGTCAATTCAACTTCATGCCATTCCCCCATTCTTTTTATCTTCCAACAACATGAAACGCCTCGCCGTCCTTTACCTCTCATTTATCGGCAGTTTGGCCCTTGCGGCTAAAAAGAACCTCATTATTGACACAGACCTCTTCAGCGATGTCGAGTAGGTGCTCCTCCCTTTGTCCTTCCATCTCACTCACCGCTTTCCCAGTGATGCCGGCGCCCTCCTCCTCGCAGCTACATCCCCAGACGTAAATCTCTTAGCCGTCAATGTCAATTACCCATCCTCGTACTCTGCCCTCGCCGCATCGGCCATCCTAGCCCACTACGGCAAACCCGATCTTCCTATTGGCATCCCGCGTCCCCTGAGCAACATCACCTTCTTCGACAGCTGGTATTTCACGCTGGGCGAGTATGCTAGCAAGGTAGCCTACCACTTCTCCGGTGGTAGCCTCCGCTGGGGCCATGCCGAGGATGCCTGGGACCCGGTGGAACTGTATCGCAAGGTCCTATCCGAGGCGGAAGACAGCAGCGTGACAATCGTGTCGATCGGGTTCCTGGATAACGTGCGTCCTCCCCCGAATCACCACTCACCCAAACACCCAAACACCCAAAACTAACCCCCCCCCCCCCCCCCCCAAACTATGGGGACGATAAGGGGGCTTTCTTTATTCCCGCTCGAGACCGAATAGCGCACATTGAATCTCCCGCCTTTAGAACCAAAAAGGGGAAGAAGCCCTTCCTCTGCGGGGGGGTCTTCGCGGAGAGTCGACATGGAACTTCCATGGGTCAAGAGCAGAGGACGTCACCCCCTTCCTCGTTCGAGAAATCGAGAGGGATAAAAAAGGCACAGATTCGCACTCCCCTAGCTGAGGGGGTGGGGTGAGCCCCTCTTCCGCGTGTGAGACTCCTGTGCACAGAAATCAGATCCGACATCTGCCTTTAGCCACTCACCCCCGGTGGGGCCCCTCGGCCCGCATGAGAGGCTCCTCGCACTATTGCGGGGATGGGCAATGTATTCAAATTCCAGAACTCCAAGTGGACACAGGTATCGGGATTGTCTCTACACGACACCGGACGCGAACCCTACACTCATAAAACGCGAGCACCGCGGTGGCTAGTCCAGGCCTGAGGGACAGGGGACGGTATGG